CGGGGCCAAGCGGCGCCGCGGCGGCGGCGCCCCGGGCCCCCCGAGCGGCGCCGAGGGGCCAGCTGCAGGAGGCCGCGCTGGCCACCTCGCGACCTACGGCCCCGACGAGGGCGAGATGACCGACTGGGCGGCAGCAGCGGCCAGCGACCGGGGGCGCAGGCGCGCGCGCGCCGCCGTCTGCGGCGCCGCGAAACAGGCGAGGTCAGCAGCGACGGCACGGCAGTGGCCGAGGTGCCCTCGGCCCTCCGTGCGCGCGCGGCGCGCGGAGAGCGAGCCGCCGCTGGAGAGGCGATTCGGGCGGGGCGTCGGGGGCGGCCGCTGTTGGACATGAGCGAGCAGCAGCAGCAGCAGCAGCAGCAGCAGCAGCAGGCCAGCGCAGCCCCGGGGGCCCGGCAATCTGCGATGTCTCCCCATCATTTTTCCTCCGCGCGCGTTGGCTGGCGCGCATCTTGTCACATTGTGCAGTCTTCGAGTCTACTTGCGAGGGGCGCGGTAAGGACCGGACTCCTGTTCAGGTTGTCGGCAGTGATCTGTTAGCGAGGTCCGGGGGCTCTCGCGTCATATTATGTATGAGGGTTTGGGGGGATCGGCGTTTTTGAGGCTGGGCCCATAGTCGCGCCAATTGGCTGGCCCAGCCCCGTCGCTCCCAGGCCCTAAGTGACAGCCCCGTTTGGTTGAGCGAACGCCCCCCTCCTCTCTCTGCCTTCTAGGCCATGCCGGACCAGACCTGCGGCTCAGCGCGGCAGACCAGCGCGGTTTCGCTTGCCCCGGCTTTGGGCAGGGTCGGGCTGGGCACGCGCGGCTGGCCAGAGGGGGCGCGTCGGGGGGGGGGGGGCCTGAGTCGGCGCGACCCGAGAACCGTCTCGAAAGCCGCGCCGATTGCCGTCTCGGGGGGGGGGGGCTTCGGATTTGAGAGGGAGGCGGCCCCGTTGCCCTGCTGCGGCAAAGGGGCAGAGCGTTCATCGCCCGAGGGAACCCCGCGCGCCGGACGACGGCGAGCAGACGGGCCAAACTGGATCTGGAGCGCGGGCGGCCACAGTTGGAGCGGCCGCCCTGCGGGCGCGCGGCGCCGGGCCCGCGCGCGGCGCCGGAGCCGTTGGCCGCGGGCGACGCGGCCCCGCCGCCGACGGTGCCTGCGCGCCTGGGGCGCGGCTGGGGCAGCAGCAGGGGTGCGCCGCGGCGGTTCGCCCTCTGTGGGCGCCAACCCTTGCCCCCGCTGGCGCAACTAGAGCGGCCGCCGCGCAGCCGCGTGCTGATCGGCCCCCGCTCAGCATTGGGGCCGCCGCTGGCGGACGAGCCGCCTGCGCGGCAGGGGCCGACCGCAGGGGCGACGCGCGCTGGTGGCATTCCCTGGCGGTCGCCTTTGGCGCGCTTCTCATGCGGGCGCCGGCCGCCGCCCCCGCCGCCCGCCTGCTCGGGCGCCGCGCGGCCGCCCGTCGGCCCAATAGCTGCGGGGCCGATCGCCGGCGGCAATGCGCAGCCGCGCGCGGGGGAACCGCGGCGGCGCGAAGCCGGCCAGGGCAGGCGCCGTGCGGGCGTCGCCGCCGCGCGCACGCGCGCGCCCCGCGGCGGCCTCGCCGTCGGGCTCTGGCGGAGGAGCGCCCTCTGCTGGAAGGGCAAGCGGGGCGAGGGCATCGCGCGCTCCGCCACCTGCTGGAGCAACATCATGGCGTGCTCGGGCGGCCTCGCGCAGGAACTGCTCGCCGCGACGCTTCCGACCGCAGGGGCAGGCACCTGCAGCGGATGCTCTGGCGGTGGGGCCGCACCACGCTGCAGCGGCACGCGACTGTCGCGTGGCACAGGGAAAAGCGCGAGGGCTTGCTTGTCGCGGCGCTCCCGAACCCCGAGCAGTCGGCCTTGCGCCTGATAGATTATGTCGACGACTCCATTGACGCGGAGGTCAACGCGACGGTGCCGAAGGCACGCCTGGCCTCGCTGGTGTTCCTGGCCAGGCTCGCACAGATCGGCGACAGGCCCCCCGCGGATCGCGTCGCCGTCAGCACGGCGGTCGCCGCTCACTACCGGGAAACGGCGGCGACGACGGGGCACACAGCCCGCGCGTACGCGGTCGAGCAGATCCGCGCCCTGGAATGCGCCGTGCAGACCAGCGCGGCAGACCAACACGGCAGACCAACACGGCACACCATAACGGCGCATCAGCACGGCGCACCATCACGGCACGCCGAAAAATTTGCGGCAGACGAGAATGGCAGATTTGCACATCAGACCAACCGTTTTTTCCAGAGTTCTCGACGAGACGTTCCGTCAGGGTTCGTAGACGCAGCGACGTTTCGCGTTCTTGTCCAATCAGGTTCCGGGGAAATCGATGTTTCGTTTGAGACACCCTCGAAACATCGGTTCCGGAGACGACTCCGAGTCAGCACTGTTTTGGAATATTTCTTGGAGGGCTTCAAAACGACCCAAGGGAACTCCCGAAGGCCCCCCAGGGACCCAGAAGCGCTCCGAGGGACCCCATGAGGCACCTGGAGGCCCCCAAGAGCGCCCGAAGAGGCCCTGGGACTGCCCAAGAGGGTCCCAGGCCAGCCCAAGACAGCGCCAAGCCAGCCCAAGAAAACCTCGACGGACAATCGGGACCGACCAAGACCCGTCCAAACGGCTCAAAACAGCCCCCCAATGTTCCCCAGAGGACCTCAGAAGCGCCCCGGGGGACCCTCAAGGGGCCCCCAGGAAACGCGCGGACGCCCCCAAGAGCCCCGCGAGAGCCCTCCAAAAGTTCAGAGAGAGCTGGGGCACCAAATGAGCGTAAGTTCCAACCTCGCCTTTGTGCTTGTTTTCCTCCTTGCTGTCCTCCTGCTGCCCTCGCTGCCCTCCCCGTCATCCACGTTGTCATCCTCGTCATCCGCCGCCTTATCGTCGTCATCATCCTTCCTTTATCCGCCCCAGGGTCGAATAACAAAAATGACCGAATAGCATCGAACAACAATTCATACGTTGCGTTTACACTGCGGACCGTGCATCGCAAGTCTCCTCGCCGGACCCAGTACCTCGATGGTCTCCCATCTTTTCTGGTACACAGTGGACGTGCGTGCTGAACACGCACGCGTGCTTTACATACGCGCGCATGGACACGCGCAGGCGTTCACATACATTGTTGTTTGCTGGCGCATGCTTATGGCATGTTTGCTCGATCCATCTGCATGTCCTTCTTGTTACCATGATGGCAGCAGCGTGCAAGGATGCATTCGCGCATACATTTCCCCTGAAGAGACGCCGCGGCAGGTGCATTCTATGTCTGATGCAACGGGGGGAGCATGATATAAGAAGAGCTCTCCAACTTCCGCATCACGTGGCCCCTCTTGCGGGTTTCCAGACCGCGACACGTGCCCCGTCTCCTCGCAGGCCACGATGGCCCAGCGGGCCCGAGGTATCAGAGCGAGGTCGGCTCGGGGAGGGTACCCTGAGGTCCTTCGTGTTTGCTGGATGTTCTTTTGCATCCTGGGGGGGGGCACCCTCGAGTGTTCTTCCCTTTGGGCCAGCGGAGGGTCAAGTATTTTCCCCCTATTCGTCAGGCGTCCTTGCCCGCGCTGGGCGTTTTAACCCCCCCTCCCCCTGACTTTTGGCCGGGGCGGCGGGGCCAGACAGGTGGTGCACAGCCTGACCAGTGCATCGTGGGACTGTGTTCCGGAAGGATGCTCTGCCGTCCCAGGTCCGGCCGTAACTCCAAGAAGCGCGCGGGTGCCCCCGAGAGCCCCGCGAGAGCTCCCCAAAAGTTCCAAGAGGACTGGGACATCAAATGAGCGTAAGCCCCAACCTCGTCTTTGCTCTTGTTTTCCTCCTCCTGGTCCTCCTGCTGCCCTTGCCGTCCTCCCCGTCATCCACGTTGTCATCCTCGCCATCCGCCGCCTTCTCGTCGTCATCGTCCTTCCCAGCCGTCACCCTCGGCCCGCGCACCGGCGGCCCGCGCCGCGCGCCCCCTGCTTGCAGAGCGCCACCGCGGCAGCCCGCGCCGCGCCGCGTGCGCTCGGCGCCGCTCCGGCGGCCTCCAGAGATCAGCGTCGACGTGCACCGTTCCTCGCGCTCGCGCGCGCCTGCGGCGGCGGCCCGGATGCTGCGCATGCGTGCAAGCGCGAGCATGTTGCATGCACAGCATCAGCACCATGAGCATCGTCATCTCTAACAGCATTGGCATCATTAGAAGCATCAGAAGCAATCAAGATACTACAGTATTAACCTCATCATGTTTACCATCAGCATTGCATCCGCATCATCATCATGATCAGGATCATCATCATCAGACTCATAGTCATCATCGTCATCGTCATCATCATCACCATCATCGTCACCGACATCGTCATCGTCATCGTCATCGTCATCATCATCATCATCAGCATCATCATCATCATCAGTATCATCATCATCATCATCATCATCATCATCATCATCATCATCGCCATCATCATCATCATCATCATCATCATCATCATCATCATCATCATCGCAGTCATCATCGATATCAACATTCATGTTCATCATCAGCAGCATCAGTATCAGCATCACCATCATCATCAGCATCAGCATCATCATCATCATCATCACCACTGTCATCATCATCATCATCATCAGCATCATCATCATCATCATCATCATCATCATCATCATCATCATCTGCATCATCATCAGCATCATGAGCACTGTCATCATCAATAACACACCCTTCAGTATCATCAGCATCATCATCACCACCACCACCATCATCATCATCATCATCATCATCATCATCATCATCATCATCACCAATATCCTCATCATCAATGTCATCATCATCAGCATCATCATTATGATTAAGCTTGTCACCGCCCGCGCGTGCAGTTTGGCGAGAGACCAAGTGTGCGCACAGCCTTGCGCCGTGGTGCGCCTACGATCCCCGCAAGGGCCCAACCCTCTTTGTGCCCAGCGGATTCCTCCTCCGCCTCCGTCTGCTCCTGCTTCTCCTCCTGCTGATGCACACCGCCGATTTTTCTCGTCCAGCGTGACTGCAGGTTGCGTGCGTTGTGGTGTTCACCATGTTTATCTGCCTCTGGCCGGCCGTGATCGTCGGGTGCGAGGAGGCCCACGCAGGCCCGCTGGGAGGAGGAGGAGGAGGAGGAGGAGGAGGAGGAGGGGGAGTAGGAGGGGGAGGAGGAGGAGGAGGAGGAGGAGGATGAGGAGGAGGAGGAGGAGGGACAGCAGCGGCAGAATGCTCATTGCAGCTCATCCGGAGCACGATCCAGTCGGCCGGCTTGAGTTTTGAGGAGGCACGACATGGCTTGAGTTCGGTGCCCCAGGCTCCATGATTCTTGACGCTTCGTGTCTCCCCACAAGCCCATCCAGCACCGATTCCTGAGCAGGTTGCCTTGGTCAGTGCAGGGCAGGAGCATGCAGTTACGTGAAGAGGGCAAGCAGTCGCCTTGTGACATGCACGCCCCCCGCTCGTATCCAGAGTGGCCTTCGGCCCACCCCGTCACCGCGCTCGGGTTGCAGGTCGGAGGCCTCCTGGGTGCCCTTGGGAGGACTCCTGGGATGCCTCTCGGAAGCCTCTCGGAGGCGGCTTGGGGGTGCCTCGGGGCCTCCTGGAGCCGTGACGTCTTCGCGGCGCGAGCGTGTCTGGATGAGTGCCATTCCTGGGAGGATTCCGGTGGGCAATCTGGCCACATCCCATGTACAGTGCCGTTTTTAATAATTACAAATGCAGGGATTCAGTATTAAAGACAACGATTAGTTCACGCATAAGTAATTGATTCATACATTAATCATGTATTATAAATCGCATATGTATAAAATTCCTATGTATTAAAAACTGCCCTGTACACCCTGGCTCAATGCGGGCTGATCCGGCTCAATGGTTCTTGTTCCCTGGCGATAGCGGTGGGGGTAGGGGGCCAGTCATGTCGCGACGATTCGCGCCTGAGCCGTCTGGGAATACTTGAGAAAGGCTCATTCCCACACGGCGCCGGCGCGAAGCGTGACGTGACCAAGGGGGGCGGAGGGGAGTGGGCGGGGCTGCTCACAGGCGTTATCGCGCATTTTTTAACAACCTCTAACCTGGGGTGGAGCAGCCAGACGGGACTAGGACGAGGATAAATCTCTTCCAGCTCGTTCGGGAACGCTCTCATAGCGTTCTGGACCGCGGCGAGAAGGCCGCGGCGCGGCGCCCGAGAGACCCTCCAGAGCCGCCGGATCTCACAGTTTTTTGAGATTCATCCTCCACCCGATCTGACCTTCATCTTGGCTTCTTCTCAAGCAGCAGCCCTGTCCTCTCCCCCGTCCGCCCGTGCCCCCGCCCCGCACACCCGTTCGGGCGTTGCTGAAGGTGCCCCTGGCCCAAGGTAATCCGATAGCCCTTATAACGGCGACGATGGAACACAGTGCCGGGGAACTGCTTTGAACATCACCAGTCGTTCAAAGCAGTGCCCCGGCACTGCTTTGAACGATGCGGAAATGCGATCAGCAGGAGCCTTCGTCTGTTCCTTCTCCTCTTCTCGTCGCTGTATGCTCTTCCTTGTCCTCCCTCCTCCCCCGTTCCCTCTCTAATTAATTACCTCGTTCTCCCAGTCTCACGCGCACTCTTCCTCCCCCCTCTCCTCCTCCTCTTCCTGCTTCTCCTCCTCGTCCTCCTCCTCCTCCGCCTCCTCCCCCTCATTTGTTATATTTCTCCGTCCTTGTCCTCCTGTCCCCGTTCTCCTTCTCCCTCTCCTCCTCCTCCTCCTCCTCGTCGTCGTCGTCCTCCTCCTCTTCCTCCTCCTCCTCCTCCTCCTCCTCCTCTTCCTCCTCCTCCTCCTCCTCCTCCTCCTCCTCCTCCCCTTCTTCCTCCTCCTCCTCCTCCCCCTTTTCCTCTCCCTCCTCCTCCTCCTCCTCCTCCTCCCCCTTCCCCCTCTTCCTCCTCTGCTATCACTCCTCCATAATTCCTGTCCGCTCCTCCCCTTCACTGATCTTCCTCTTCGTCATCATCATCCCTTTCGTCGCACGCCTCTTAATCCTCAATCGGTTCCCAATCTTCTCGACTTTCTTGTCATCCGCGTCCTTGGCTGTTGGAGGGGCCTCAGGAATTCTCAGGGCTCTTGTGTTGCACGCGAAGGCACACCTCCCAGGAACGCATCATCCTCCTCACATTCACCCTCCTCCTCCTCATCCTCCTCCTCCATGCACGTTCGGCTCAAGCCCGCGCCGACGGTAGGTTTCACGGCGGTTGGGCGGGCTCGCGCCCGCCTCCGCGGCCTGCAGTCGGGGCAGAGATGCGTGCAGGGTGGGATGACAAAGCGGAAGAGGAAACACGGGCCGCAGTTGCGGATTCTTCAAAGAGCAGCGGCGGCGGTTGGGGAACAAGTGGGGGTTGGGGCGGCCGCAGTGGCGGATACGGCGGCGGAGGTGACCGCAGTGGCGGCTGGGGCGGCGGAGATTCTCTTGGCGGATGGAGAGGAAAAGCGCAGGATGGCGGCGACGGAAGTGACCGCAGTCGCGGATGGGAGGGCGGCGGATGGGGCGGCAACGGATGCGAGGGTTGGGGAATGGAGGGCGCCCGCTGGTGGGACGACGAGGGTGGCTGGTGGAATGCATGGGAAGGTGGCCGCTCGAGTGCCTCGGCAGGTTCTCCTGCCGCGGAGCCCGCGGCCGCAACAGCGGCGGGCAAAGGAGGCGGTCCCCTGCTTCCCCCAGGGCGCGAAGAACAAGGCGCAGTTGCGCTGTTTCAAATTGTGCGCAATGAGCCGCTGCCAATTTTCAAGTTGGAATTCTTCGAGAACTTCAGGGCGAACTGGAACGGCAATTATAAGCAGCACAACGCGGCCTTGAAGTGGTTCCGAGACGAGTACGAAGACCGAGAAAACCCTTTCGGCAGCCGCACGCCCGTCTTCGGAGGTACCGCAGTTGCGGAGGAAATTTCGAAGATCCTTAAGTACCGCGCAAAGGGGAAGGCGCAGGACAACAGGGATTGGGACTGGGACCACACTGTCAAAGTGCCGTGGTCTTGGCTGGAGATGGTCGCGCAGATGGATGGACCTACAATGCTGCGCGTCGTGTGCGGCCCTGACAATGACCGCAGTCGCGGGTTGGTCCGCTGCGAGTGCCGCCCGTGCCCTAGCAGTCTCGACAACATGAGGCACACGAAAGGGGTGGACAGAGGACAGGCGCAAAGAATCCCTCTGCCCCAGTGGGATTTCGTCCTCATCCGCGACGACGGCTCGGGCATTCGCGTCCACCCATCCTGGTCTAGCCCGAAGTTCAACACGTATGAGGTGGAGCCGCACTCGCATCCCGTGCGGGGCCCGAGGGCAGGTCTCGGCAAGAGCGATGGCCACGGAACGTTCACGTTCTGGAAGATGCTGCACGCCCATCCGAATCCTGGGCGGTTCGACGCGAGCAAGGGGGCGCAGCTGCAACCGCGGTGGTCCGCGCAGCCTTGACACCGCAGTTGCGGGATTGCGCAGCCATGGAACCGCAGTTGCGGGGACCGATCGCGTGACGCCGCGCTCGTTTGACTCACTATGCGCGCTTTCGGCCGCAGTTGCGGCGCTGCCTTCTAGCGACTTCATACAGCTTGGCCGCAGTTGCGGCGCTCCCACGACTGACCGCTGTAATTAGGTGCTTCGGGCGCGCATCACCTCCGTTGAAGCACTCGTGACGTTAATTAGCGCGGCCGCAGTTGCGGAGACAGGTACTTAAACAGATGGATCCGCAGTTGTTCGTCGTCCTCGTCGCCCCTTCCCCGTCGTCCTCGTCGCAGTCTCCTCCCTCCGCCTTTCCTCCTCGTCGCAGTTCCTTCCGTTGGCCGTAGCCCGCCTCCGTTGGCCGAGTCATTTCCCGTCGTCCTCGTCGCAGTCCCCCCCGAGGGCCGCAGTTGCGGACTTTGTTGATTCCTCCTCCTCCGTTTCTGCCCCGTCATCCTCGTCGCAGTCCCCTTGCTCCTTTCACCCTCGTCTGAGCTCTTCGCGCCATCCTCTTCCGTCGCGTCCTCTCCATCCTCCTCTTCGCCTTCCTCGTCCTCATCCCCGCCGTCTCCCTCGTTGTCCTTCCTCTCCCAAGCCGGCCGCAGTTCCCCCGTCGGACGGGGGCCGCGCGCGGCCACGCCATGGACCCAGGTCGCAAAGCCGAGGTCGACAAGCGGTTCGCCGAGCTGAAGCAGCAACTGCGGGAAAGGTTCGGCCTGCAAGGGGCTGCCGCGGATGCCGCAGTCGCGGAGCCGACGGAGGACCGCAGTTGCGGAAGCCCCGAGCGACCGCCGCGCGAGGCCTCCCCGCAGTCGTCTAGCTCCTCGCGGGAATATCGGCCGCCGCCGCCGATAAGCGCTGCGAGTGGGAGCTCTGCTGGTGGGAGGCGCGAAGAGGCGCAGTTGCGCAGGGCGCACTTGACCCCCAAGGCAAAATGGGGGCCTCGGGCGCAGACGCCGACGAAGCAGCAGGACCAACCAGCAGTGACGGGAGCCGCCACCGAGACCGCAGTTGCGGGGGTGGCCGGCGAGCCAGGTGCCGCGCGCGGCTCATCTGGGAGCAGCGCGCCCTCGGCCGTGCTGCTCGCAGCCGAGTCCAAACGAGGCGCCCAACCCGAAGACGAGGCCGCCTCCCAGGAGAAAGCCGCCGAGACAATCGCCTCGGCCGATTCGCGGCCGAGGAAAAGGCCGCCTCCCACGGAAGGCTCGCCGCTGTCAGAACCGCAGTCGCGGGGTCGCGCGGGGCCTCCGTCGGAACCGCAGTTGCGGGAAGATGCGGGAGCACCGCGGAAGAAGCAGCGGACCAGGTCCCCTCCAGGGATAAACTACGTTGGGGAACGCCCCAAGTGGAACGAAGGATTCCTTCGTACAGCAGACGGCAATCGGGTTCCGTCCACCATCGCTTTGGTGTTCAACGTGGTGGTCATCACGAAGGTGGCAACAAAGGAAGATGTCTTCAGGTGCATCTTGCACCAAACTGCGGCGGTCGTCTTCGTCGTATGGGACCCCGAGCTGTTCCGCACGGGGAACGTCGAAGGCGCTTGCAGCTACGACGTTCCCGTTGGACTCAGGACTGCCGTCGAAGACGCTGTCACTTTGAAAAACAACACCGCGGAGCCTTACTGGACGACGGTTGGCCTGTTCAGAGACACGGGCG